GGGAGCAGCGCCGAAATCCGTTGGGTCGCTTTCTGCTTAGAAGGTTCCGAATCCCCTGCAGATGCAGACGAGCCTGTCGAGCCAAGTGGCACTCACAGAAAAATAACAGAATAAACGATTCCCAGGTTTTGTTTCTGTTGGTGGTTTCTGACCCGCCTCACCAATGGAGTTGGGACCAACATTACGAGGGGTCATCTGGTGATTTGCAGCTTTTCAGTAGGGCCGAACCGCTCAGGTGGGTGGGGGGAAAGTCACCGGGAAAGAAGAGGAATCTGTTCACCAAACCCTTACCTCTGCCAGTAGTCCTCCTGGTCCCTAACAGGGGCCGTACTAGGGCAGAGTCCCAAAGCTGTGTCCGCAGAAATGCCTGAGGACGTGCTGAACCAGCGCTCGGGCGTTACGGAGTCGCTGAGGAAGCGGCTGGGTTTGCCAGCCCGCACCCCAACCCGGTGCCAAATCCCCGCCATTGGGCCAGCCCTCCTCACGGTGCCTTACTCTAACTGTTTCGAGTCTTGCGTCTTTTCTGCATTCTTAGCATTGCTCTCCTTAGCGAGGGAATGGTAGCTTTTGCTCCGTAACTCTTACGAAAGCATGAATACACTGTAAAAGCAAACAAAACCCAAAATCAGCATAAAGCAGCGTCTTGTTTGGGAAGCCATCAATGCTTGGAGTTATTTACAAGATAGAAGAATGATGGAAATTGAGCCAAACCTATCGTCTTTTGAATTTCCAGGTAAGGAAATCTGGCTATTCCCTTTATTTTAAGCAATTAGTACTTTGTGTGAGGTTGCTTTTATTGTTGTTTTGGGTTTTTTTTTAAGTCACTGAACAGCCACGCTCTTAGGCTCTGCCAGGACGAGGTAGATGTCCCGTCCTTGGAGGGCATTCACCCGTTGTAGCTCAGCTGACAATGAGTACCTGGGGGTTTAAGAGCGCAAGTTATTTTTCCTCCTTCATGTTGGCACGTCCGGCGCAGCCTCGGAGCCGAAGGGAGCGAAGGGGCTCGGTGCGGCGTGCGCGGGCGCCGGGGCGCGTCACAGAACAGTCCGAATCTCTCGCTGCTCTGCTCTACGCTTGATACCTTTTACCAAGTCAAACCAGGCACAGGTCTTCCTTCCAGCCAGCCGCAGTGGCGCGTGGGCTCGGGGCGCCAGGTTCCACCACCAGCAGTCCTGCACCTCGTAGGCTCCTTCTAGCGCAGGTCGGTTCTGCCGTGAGGCTAAACTAGCTGCCTGTAGCTTCTCTTCTCCTTGAAGCGTGTGGGTCCTCTTCAGCTGGGGCTGCCCGGGACTCTCTGTTTTTGCAGACGTGCCCGTTAGCGGGGCTCCTCCTCTCGCGAGCCTCCGTTTCCACTGAGTTGTGTCAGTTCCCTGGTTGGTAACGCAACGTGCAGACCCGCAGGGATTCAAACTGCCTTTGGGGTCTTTTTAATTTTGGTGTTGTTTTTTTTTTTTGTTTGAGTTTTTAGATTGAGGGATGTTGCTCGGTTCCCTGTGATAATCCCCACCCGTCATTTTCCTTTCCAGGAGAGAAGAAGTGGCAGAGGGAAAAGTCAGAAAAGAATATGGAAAATCAAGAGGATGTGAGAGGGCTGCTCCAGCTCACCACCCTAAAGCCAGGGAAGAGCCCCTACAAGCGCAGTTGTGACGAGGGGGAATCCCACCCCCAAACAAAGAAAAAAAAGATCGACCTCATCTTCAAAGACGTCCTGGAGGCTTCCTTGGAGTCTGCCAAATTTGAAGAGAACCAGCTGCCGACAAGCACACCGCTTTCCATCAGAAAAGCATCTAGATACCACGCTGAAGACATCTTTGAGAGGTGTGGCAGCACCATGCAGCACGGCTCCCTGAACCTCAGCAGAAACAAGGGTGAAGGGGCATGGAAGGTCCCCCATGGTTCCTCTTTCAGCTCAGTCAGAGAGGTGGGCATCCTTGAAGATGAGGAAGAAGAGCCCCTGTCACTGACAGCAGACAGCCCGACCGAGCTGTCACTGGCCTCTGTGCAAGGCAACTCCCACGAAATCCCCACCACCTCTTTTTGCCCCAACTGCATCCGGCTGAAGAAGAAAATCCGGGAGCTGCAGGCCGAGCTGGACATGCTGAGATCTGGGAAGTTACCTGAGCCACCCGTGCTACCGCCCCAGGTACCCGAGCTCCAAGAGTTCTCAGACCCCACAGGTAAGCCTTGCCGAGTAACAGCCTTCTCCAAACCCTGCCTAAGGAGAGTAGTGAGATGCCCGTGTGCTGTGTACCCACCTAAAGCGTTTTGCTCTGAGTATTCAGGTGAACACGTGGCTCCGTGGAAGGTTCGGTGTCAGGTTTTGTGACCGAGTGGGCCAGGAGCTGACGCAGCTGTGGGCGCAGTGGAAGAAACTGTCTGGGAAAGACTCTGTACGACGACTCGCTCTCTCTGTTGCCGTTGTAATCGATGAATGCACTGCCAATAAAAAAGACATTCCATTGCAGACGGTTTGTTTGCTGTATTTTTGGTGCCTTCTCTTTCAGCGGACGCCCCTCCGCA